GCCAGTTCGTACCACTTCGGGAGAGCCAGTTGTTAACTTTCTGAGCAGTTTGGTGAACTGGTTGTTGGAAGAAATCATTAGGGCAGAGAACCAGTGGTTAAATTATTGGAATCCCACCACTGTGTGCAAGTGGTGCACAAGAACTTTTTGTGTGAAAGCCCTCCTGGCCATAGGTGCCATCTGCTCCTTAAGTCTAAGCTGCAAGTCCTTGAAGACCCCAAGATTGCAAATCAACCCTGATTGAGGAAATGTAACCCCATTCAGAGTTAGCAGTGGAAAGCTGCCAGGTATGGGGAGCTCTAGAACACATAGCCGCTCAGGGTTGTCAAGGTGGAAATGAAGCTGGCTCTTCCCCATTCAGACCTACACAGCCTCCAGGCATTGGGAAAACACAAGAGCTTCAACAGCACCACTTGGACAGCCTGAGGCACAGATGGCATAACTGAGTGGCATCAGCCTACTGATGAAACTCTACCCTATGCCAAACCATATGGAGTGCTTTCATATAGACATGAAATAGGACCAGGGAGCGAGTCAAGCCCTGTAGCAGCTGAAAGACAGGTGACCTAAGGCTGGACCTTTCCCTCCTACCAACCCCAACTGGAATTGGGGGGAAGCAGAATCATTATTACAGGGCCTTCTACCTCCCGGGATATCACAACCGATGGTATCAAAAGCTACTGAAAGATCAAGAAGCGCCAATGTGGACACATTACCCCCATCCCAAGCCTTCCAGAGGCCAGCTGCAAACATGTTCAATTCCATCTCAGTGCTATATATAACTTGAACCCCAACTTCAATGAGTCCAGTTCCTTTAAAACCACTTCCTCCAAAGACATTTGAAGCTGTATCTCTACTACCTCCTCAACAACCTTGATTGGAAGTTGGCCAGAGTTTGTAAGAAGATAGGCAGCTGCTGGTACATAAATATTTTAAACGAATAAACAAACCTTCATCTGTAATGTTTAGAGATTTGATGAAGATTATCCAGTACAGCTGGGTACAGTGATGCTCTCTTAACAAGGAGCAGAACTACTACCTCTTTTAAGGCAGGTGGAACCATTGCCTCTGACAAGGAGATATTGACCATCGCTTGAACACATTACATGTCAACCGCTTAGGAGGCTTTAACCAGCCAGGAGGGGCCATGGATCTAACACACAGATAGCATTCCAGGGATCCTGTCCATTTCTTTGGAAGTAATTGGATCAAACTCAGGCACGATAACTGGACAGCACAACTGAAAGCAGGACAACTTCAAGCAAATTCAAGCAACTTTATCCATCAGATGCTGAATGTAATTCTTACAATGAACCTGCAAAGGATCCCCAACTCCACCTTATCCAAAAAGGATCAAATCACTTAAAAACAGGGTTGCTGGTCAGTAATCTGCAGGCACAATAAAGATGAAGAAATAAGCACATTTCACCCACCCATCCCATTGCCATAAGGCACTCCTTATCTGTGTTCAGTCTTGCTATAAATAGCAAGACTGAATACAAAGCTAAAGATAAAGCTTTCCGTTTTCCTGCACGTATTAATTCTAAAACATGGGTGTTTTTTTTGGCCATACCGACTATTGCAATCATTCTTAGTGGAAGTTTCTATCTTTCTATCCCAGTATGAATTAGGGAGACAAGAACAAAAGCAAGTATCATCACAAAATATGTGGATTTAAGATTGTATTTGCTGGTGCAAATATTCAGTCTTCCAAGCTACAAGACAGGGGAAGGAGTTGGACCAGATAATTTCAAAAATCTCTTAAACACTATGATTCTATGACTTAAGGCATTCTCTTTCATGGGCCAGGGATGAGATGAAGACAATGTAATCGGGACAATAAAAAGATATTACCATGACATGTTTGTGCCATGTTTTACTCCAAGCAGAGAATAGGTCCTTAGAGACTTGGAAAAAGCAATCAGAAGCCGTACTATTGCTGTGTGCCACCCAGTGCCCTTATAAATTTGATAAATAATTAAATCTGATTAGCTTCACTGTAAAGGCAGGCTATTACTTTTTTTGAACAGGATTGCAAAATGTCCTTGCTTATCAACAATTTAGGTCATTTTTAGCTCCGAGATTAGAAGACACATTAAAATCTACACCATCAATGAGGTACCAAAAGAAATCCCTGATTTCCTAGTATTCAATGTTAGTGGTGAAATAAAATGAAACAATATTTGTGGATGTGGTGTGATGGAATTAGATTCCAAAGAGTACTTGGGTCACATCCATTTTCACTTAAAAAATACTCAAGCATTGCTTAGCTCCACTTTTCCATGTTTCATTATGGCGGAATGCCATGCCTAACATTAGGAAATATGAGGCTGCCTGGTCATGATAGGAAAATCTGTATATATCACATGAAAGGGCAGCTACAATATTTTTGTTTTTACAGGTCACCTGACACAGGAGGAAAGGGAGTCAGTCATCTAAAGGCCGAAATAAGGGAATATTAACAGTGCTGTCTTTCTCCCCCAGAAGCTTAGTTGCCCTCTTCTCATATCCATTTCTATGCTGGTGACCAACGTGTTTCGCATGTAGGAAAAGAAATGGACCTGGCAATTTCCTCTGGAAGAAAAACGTAACAGGGGAATATACAGTCTGAGGAAACAGGGCTACCAGGGATGAAGATGCAAGAGAAGCAGGCTGTGCATAGTCAGCTCAAATGAGATTCTGGGATTTCTAACCGCCCATCTACTTATCAACTGTCCCAATTCATGATGGCACTTCTGAAGGTCATTGCTTTTGTCAAGTCCTCTAACTGGCAAATTAATTTTAAAAAATCAGAAATATTTAAAAAGAGGGGAATGAGAGAAGGAAGTGCTGGCCTCTCATTTCTTTTTGAAAGCAAATCTGTTAAAACAAGAAAGGAACATTTCCCCTTTTCTTCAGAATCTCCTTACCTGGTCAGCAGCACTCTGGTCATCTGTAATGTCAAAAAGTACAGCCCGAGCTCCCCTCTCCCCGGCTAGTTTTGCCTGCAAAGAGAGAAAAGAATTCAAGAGAATATATGTGAATAAGAGCATCATCGTGACCACATAGCCCCTCTCATTCTTTGTTATCCCCCTCAATTACTAGATTGCACATCTTTGGAGATTCTCAGTCATCCAAAGGTGCTTTTTCAAGAGGCAAACGGACTTCCTGGTTTTTCTTTGAAGTTGTTTTGTTTCTCATCCAAAAAGCTTCTTCAGCTCTGACTGGATGGACAACACAACATACATGCACACTTCAAACCCCAAAATACCCTAAGGCAGAAGCTTGTCCACCCCAAGGATATAATACCCAGACACAAACTGAGCAATGTGGTATATGCAGTACAATGCAGTGAGCCATATGAAGATCTGTACATTGGGGAAACATAACAACCACTTCATAAAAGTATGGCACAACAAAGGAGAACAAACCCATCAGGACTAGATTTAGCAGTCCAGGTGCATTTAAAAGACAAAGGCTACTCTTTTAAAGACAACAAAGTCCACATTTTGGACAGAGAGGACTGCTGGTTTGAAAGAGGGGTCAAAGAGGCCAACTATGTCAAAATTAAACAGCCCTCTCTCAACAGAGTGGTAAGGATACGACATCATTTATCTCCAGTCTACAACACAATCCTTTCAACAGTTCCAAGAAGGCTCCACACCGAGTTACACCGCTCAGGTTACCCTGATGACACAGATAAACCTCCAGGTGACCTTAACTACTCTCTAAAAGAATGCAAATGACCAGCTGTCTTCAAGGAGTATAAATCCTTCCATCTTCAGTCAGAGCTGAAGAAGCTTCTTGGATGAGAAGTGAAATGTCTTCAAAGAAAAACCAGAAACTCCAGTTGCCTCTTGAAAAAGCACTTTTGGCACTACTAGATTACTGTGGTCCCCATCTGTGGGAAAAGAAGGCCTGGTTTGTACTGAGTTACCTGTGTCTTTATAATGGGAAAGCAGGGTATTGGAAGGCAAGCTACTGAACTCGGGAGACACACACTTCATAAAAAATGGATTCTTCACATCTAAACAATGCATTTATTTATTTACATCTACATTTACAGAATACAATCCCAGTTTGGGAAAAGGAGGATGCCTAGATTTAGAGCTGTATAATATCACAATTGAAAAGGAAGAAATGGCCAAAAAGGAGTATGTGGTTTGTACTACAGGTACTCCTCGACTTACGGCCACAATTGAGCCCAAAATTTATGCTGCTAAGTGAGATATTTATTAAGGGAGTTTTGCCCAATTTTACGAATTTCTTGTCACATTTGTTAACTGAATCACCGCAGTTGATACGTTAAGTCACCTGGTTCTTAAGCAAATCTGGCTTCCCCATTGACTTTGTTTGTCAGAAGGTTGCAAAAAGCAATCACATGACCCTGGGACACTGCAACCGTCATAAATGTGAGTCAGTTGTCAAGCATCCGAATATAAATAACATCACCATGGGGATACTGCAATGGTCGTAAGTGTGAAAAACGATCACAAATCACCTTTTTCAGTGATCATTTTCAGTGACTTTGAACAGTTGTTAAATGAACTGTTGTACGTTGAGGACGCCCTGTACCGAGTCGCAGTGAAATTGGGGAGTTCTAAATGTCTTGGGATCCATAAATTTTATTGCCAGCTCAACCCATTTGTTCAGATATTTAGAACAATCAGAAGCAGCCATCTTCCTCCCTGAGCCTGGAAGATGTTCCCAGTAGATTGTGCCGCCTATAGGCCAAAGCAATGCATTGCCCACCCACCTCTGCCATGCTCACAGGCACTCATAATGGAATTAGACTGGTGCAGCCCACTCCTTATAATATCTGATCTGAATCTTTATAGTCGATGCTCTCTGCTTGAAGGAGTGATCCGTTACTCCAACAAGCCGCAATGAGCCGCAATGAGCCGCAATGGCGCAGTGGTTAGAGTGCAGTACTGCAGGCTACTTCTGCTGTTCATCAGCTGCCAGCAGTTTGGCAGATTGAATCTCACCAGGCTCAAGGTTGACTCGGCCTTCCATCCTTCCGAGGTG